TTTCACAGCTCTTGTTTTGAAAAACAGTTGTAAAAGTTGTCAGAGTTAAGTTTTATCAGTTAAATGTTACATAAGTTAAATGAAAGGACTTTGTATGCCTTTCAGACAGGAAGAGCAGCTGTGTAGCAGTTCTACACAGTCCTCCTCAATGACCTCTGGCCTCTCATCTCTGCAGGACGCAGGGGCACTGGGGACTGAAGGGAAGGAGGAGATTTGTTCACCCTCTTATTCCCTGTTCAAGCTTACAAGTCCCTGCCAGTGGCTGCAACAGGTCTGTAAGGCGCAGAAGGCAGTCTCATGGTGCAAACACTTACTAGAAATTAAATGAAGACCCCTGTCACTTCCCAAGTATCGAATCTGAAAGTCATCATTGCTGTTTGAAAGGGTGTTTGTTCAAGAATTCTACAGATTTGGAAATTCCCCCATAAGTGGCCCTGTTCATAGATCTCTAAATATCACAGAAACATGGAAGCAGCATAACAAAATGCCTGAAAAAATGTAATAGTAGACAGGTTAATATTTAAGTCCACTTACGACATTAAAGTAATCACAGACAGACAGAGTCCTTGCGTGTGGAGCCAACAGACATATGCTAGACCACTGGGTGAGCTTTTACATAAAGCCTGTGCTTTTACATAAAGACTGTGCTCTTCTAAACACGGTTCAGACCCTATGTGGTTTCTCAGCACTATGAAGAGCTTCTATGGAATAAACCAGCACCTGTCACTATATTCTTTCTTTCTTTCTATGCTGACAGAAACAGCCAATCATGCTAAATAGACAACTTCAAGCAAAGATCAGCTTTTTTGCCAAAGGATTCTTGAGCTGCTCCATATTTATTACCCAGCCTCAGGATTTTGTCTCAACACTCAATTTTGTCTTGGGATCCTAGTATTCATCCTTACATTTCTGCCTCCATTTCCCACTCCTTCCTCCCCTTCCCTTCCCAACACCATGCACAAACTCAGCATGCAACTGAGAATCCAAACCATGTCACCGTAGACATACCTGCACAAGCATGTGCAGAGTTGTCCCAGTGATTTCTAGCTACAGCATCAAGAATAAAGAAACCTGCCTTGGTTAAGTACAGTGCATGTAGACTAAAAAATGTGGGCTTCAGGACTGTCAAATCATTCAAGAAGCAGAGGCAAGAGCCACTAGAACTCCTCAGGGACAAAGTCATGCCATCTGGATTTCCACAGCTTTTGAAAATATATTTGGAAATGAAAAACACAACAACTAATGCAGTAGATATTTCACACTGGTAGACTAAGATGCAGATATCCAATTTACAGATAACACAACAGCTCCTTTTCCCTTAGTCATAAATTCTGGGATGATCAGATTCTGAATAGCTCTCAAAGATACAAAAGAAAAATAGGGCAGATGATGAATATTTTATCACTGAATTCTTGCTATACATAATCATATTATTTTATTATCTCATGCTGTGCAGAAAAAAACATTGGAAATGAGGCTAGATTTGTGAATGATAATAATAACTTGTCAAGCTGCTTGATATAAGGATGAAAATACAATAAACATGATTTTAAAAGTTGGTATAGGAAGACTGGCTACTGACATGAAATGGGAAAATGTTTAAGTGATTTAAGAGTAATACAGAAGTGTAAAAAAGAGACTGTGATACAATAATTTATATAGCAGGAACAACAAAATAAAGTACAAGAAACATGAGCAAAAGCTGTATCCATTACAAAAAAAGGTAACCATTTTGACATCCTGGGAAGTAAAGATGAATAAACAACCCCTCGTTACATATCTCCCCTCAAGTTTCACCTTGACTTAGAAAAAGCTGTTTCCTTAGTACATTGCTCTTAGATTATGTGTGAATGAGAAATACCTCTGTTAATGGTACTCAGATACACATATTCAAATTCACTTTTCCAATGACATTTTCTAGAATTCAAGTTTCTTACGAATTACCACATGAAATAACATGTTTCAGTGTATTCAATCTGAGTGGTTATCACACAGTGTAAACAAGATTTAAAAAAAAAAAAAAAGAATAAAACCTTTTAAGAAATGCTTGAAATGCTTAAAGAGATAATGCAGATGGAGCTCAGCAGAGCTGCACAAAATCATTTACAGAGGCTGGAAAGGACCCCTGGGAATCTCAAATCCCACCTCCTGCATGTTCAGCTGGAGCAGGTTGCTCAGGTTCTTCTCCAGTTGTGTTTGAATACCTCCAAGAATGGAGGCTCCTTACTCCAATTTGACAAGGATAAAACCTGACTAGAGTTGCTGTTTTTATGAGAAATAATGACTCAGGTGTTTCAGTCACTAGCAAAGTAATGGAAACACGGCCCTCAGATAAGGTAATCATATTAGCTTTGGCCACAGTGACCTGGCATTTCATTTGAAGTGTAGTAGTCCTGTTCCTAACTTCTCTGTCTCTACATTTTATAGAAAAACACTTGAAAAAACATAATAAAGCAAACCCATAGCAGCTGAAAGAAAAAAATATTGGATGATATAGCTTGGAGCACATTGACTGAGAATGTCAATGCAACACGTTTTTATTTTTTTCAAGAAAGTTAAAAAAAAGGTCATTCCTGACCTATCTTTGAAAACTTCAAGCCTCTCCAGTTCTCTATGGATTAGGGACAAGATTGGTGATGCTCTAAACATGAATTTTTAAATATTAGGTTTTCAAATAACAACCAAAGGATTAGATGAGGCCAAATATAAATACTGACCTATGAACAATGACTCAGACTGCCTGGGTGAACACTTCGTTGTCTAACAGGAACTAGTATCAGATATGATTATTTGAGTTAGTATCCCTCATACCAAGATGAGACACTCTGTACCCAGTCTGATTTAGAAATCAAATTCTTTTGTTTATAACTCTGTAGTAGAAAAAGGTTAAAGTAGGCCCTTCTAATTCAGTAAAAAAATACCCTTAAAGCAGTATGAGCCTCAAATACCTGAAAGGTTTATAATTGATCAACCGCTGAGAACTTTTAAAAAAGATACCAGAGTATCCTTCAATGTTCCCAAATACCTTTACCCTGTTAATTAAAAAAAAAGTGTAAAAGCAGAATTCAGGTCTAAACCACATTTCAGATATTTTTATCTGCTATGCACTCTTAGGAGTTGTATATCACTTTTCTATAGAAAAGCTGCTCAGAAATTAGAGCTGCCCAGGTAAAATTAAAGCTGTTTTTCTCCTTGGCTTGCAGGTGATGCAGGAGCACCCTGGGATCCCGTGATTTCTGTGCTCTTTCATCCTGACTTCCGGTGAGTGCTGCACTTCAAAGCCTTTTTGGTTTGAAAAATCAGAAACAGAGGTCAGAATGTCAACGTTTCTCTGCTGGTTTTATTTCTAAACTAACATACTAACTGGACTCCTCTGTGCCAACATGCAATTCTGAAACAATGCATGGCCTTCATATGGCAAGAGCCACCTGAGCATGGCCAGCCCCTGCATTTACCAGTCCCGAACCAAAATGCCACAGCAGCATTAAGAGCACACACCTAGAGGAGGTGCAAACATGTGAAGTATCACTTTGCAATAAACATGCAGTGAAAGGTCAGACATTTACATCATGGGAGATGCAGGACATTGTGCTTCTGAATACACGCCCATGAACAATTGAAAGGAGATATTTTATACAAATATATATATATTTTGTATATATATATATAAATACAAATATATATTAATTTAATATATATAAATTTGTAGTTATATATATATACATATATGCAATACTTGTTTCAATACTATGGGATAAAGCTCTGGAAGGAAGAGGGGCCAAGAGAGCTGACTAAGATTCAAGGATCACTTATTCCAAGCCTAGAAGGGATGCATCTCAACAAAGAGGAAGTCAGATAAAAACGCCAGGAGACCTGCATGGATGAACAAAGAGCCTCTGGACAAACTCAAACATACAAAGGAAGCCTACAGGGGCTGCAGGCAAGAACAGGTAGCCTGGAAGAAATACAGAGAGATTGTCTGAACTGAAAGAGGACAGGTTTAGATTGAATGTAAGGAAGAATTTTTTTACTGCGATGGTGGTGAGGCACTGGAAAAGGCTGCCCAGAGAAGCTGTAGATGCCCCATCCCTGGAAGTGTTCAAGGCCAGGTTGGATGGGGCTCAGAGTAACCTGATCAAGTGAAAGATGTCCCTGCCCATGGTAGGGGTTTGGAACTAGGTGATCTTTAAAGTCTCTTCCAATCTAAACTGTTCTATGATTAAATGCCAGTCTCTAGTAATTTTTTTTGGTGCAAATGTGAGACAGGAAGAAAGACCCTTTACTGCATTTATGTAAGTTGTTGCTGGCATGAAGGAGAAAGGTGGAGAGAGGCAGACAAACCAAATATCACTATGAGTGGCACCTCATGGTGTTAAGGGACTGGGGAAGCTAATCCATTGCCCTGCATTTCCTTACGTGTATATGTTTGACCTCCTGTAGGGTGTCCTTTATTTTCTGTAGGAGAGCTTCACAGTTTCTTCAAAACTCCATTCAGGGAATAAGAGCACCACAAATGTTTGTTATAGGCAACAACACTGCACATGTTATTCTGATAATGTTTCTCTTGAGAGTAAAGCATGCTGCCTTTCCAGGGAAATAAATAGTTCTTACCTTGCAGATTCACTGAGGGTCGTTACACTCTATGATCAACCTTGGCCTGGCTGCTTTGGGTGCAGAGTTTCAAAAACAAATCAAGTTTCCACTGAGGTGCCTTAAATATAAACTAAAAAATGCATGGACTTACCTTTATGTCACTGTATGAAGCCTTATATTTTTACAAGTTGTAATAAATTAGATCAGGAGAGAAAGGCAGATGTTTCAGATGATGATCTTTAGACAGGAAAGAAGAATACTAAGACAAACTGAATGAGATGTGAAATACCTATCCAACTGCATAAAAAGCACAGATGTCACAGTCCAGTGCATACACTAAGCCTAAGATTTTTGTCTGATGCAAACAGTATCAGCAAAAAAATCTGTTTTGTTAAACAAAGCCTTACCTTTCTGATATCGATTTCCTTGGGAAATAAAAATCTTTTCCTGCGAGGTAGGCAGCTGCAGTTCCACCTCCAAAATAGGTCTTCCTCAAGAGGGGAGCAATCCGGTTGTTTACCAATAATGCTCCTAAACCAGTTGGGAAACCAAAGATTTTATAGAATGAGATGGGGATAAAGTCAGCTTGGTGAACTCCCAGGTCTAATGGAGAACTGCTCACGTATGAAGCTGCATCAAGTAGAACAAACCACTTCCCTGGTGCTTTGATGGGGCAGAGTTTTCCAGATTTTATGTTCTGTATCCATGAAAGGGGATATTTGGTACCAGAAAAATTGCTCTGAGCTGGGTAAGAGAAAAGATGAGGTGTCGGGCAGTTTTGTTCTTCAGCTGGTAACCTGCTTTCAGCTAACAAGACTTCTTGTGGTGTTACTGGAACAGACAAGACATTCATTGAGGCAGTTATCCCCCTCATACCCACCACAGATGTGTGGCTGTCAGTTAAGTAACAAAATCGACTGCTGGGTTGCTTTGTGCCTTCAGGTATCCAAGGGAATGATTCTGCTACCAGTTTAAGCGCAGCTGTGCATCCAGATGTGAAAATGATGGTGTAATCCTCAGCAGTAGTGTGAAAGTGTTGCAATATTCTGAAAAAAAAAAAAAAAAAAAAAAAAAGAAAAAGATCCATTTATTTTCTTATTTTTCTCTTTATTGCTGTGTGATATATTTTGGTTTTCCTCAGCATAAATTCTTCTACTCTGACACTCAATATGAATAGAAGTAGACAGGTTTTGTCAAATAGCACAATAAACTTCAAAAGGAGAACCCAAATAATTTTGCCCCCAAGAGACTTTTTCTAATGCTGCAGTGAACGTGGATGTGTTCTTAAGGACAGAAACAATTCTGCCTGGCTCCAGACAGAGTGGCCAGTCTGGTCCCTCAGTTGGATAAGAATCAAGCCTGCATATAATTAAAATTACACTGTCCTTGAGAGAGACCTGCTCTATTTGCAAACTATTGGGGTTTTCTGTTTAACAAATATTTAGATCTGACAGATTATGTTTCAGTTAAAATAACCTACTTAAATAGTGGGCATCCAAATAAAGGGTCACAGTATTCAACTGGGAAACCTTAGCATACAGCTTTGCTCCTTGCTTATATTATTAACAATAGAAAAGGAAGGCAGCAAGAAGCAACATAGGCTTTCCACATGCCTTATGCACATAAGGCTGTAATATCTGTAGTCCACAAAGATAGCTTAAGCCAGAAACAATCTAATGTCTTCCAGTGAGCCAGACTATGAAAAGCAAACTGGTCTCTTGAGCCATGTCAGCTTGTTGGCTCTAAACTACCTTCTGTGAACACCACCTAATGCACCTTTTGGTACCCATGCTAGCTTGTGCATCTATTAGTGTTCTGCAGTGTGCAAGGTGGGTCTTTTCAGAGGCTGAGGAATAGCTTCAATTCAATCACCTTTCTTACATTTTTTCACCTGATGAACTTTCTCTGAATTAACACTTATAAAACAGGAAATGTAACAAACATCTGAGAGACATCATCTTCAGTGCATAGAGCAGAGCAAACAAAATTGAACCAGACCATACATGTTGCAGCTCAGAAATCCTCTCCAAGCAGCTGGCATTCTGATCTGTTTAACTCCAAGGTACAGACCAGCATTTGGAGAGTCTGTGAATGCTGGTTCCCAAAGTGTAGCATTAAAAGTTTGCATGTTTTATATAACAGGTTATTCCTTTACTAGAACAGACAGAAAATGAGGACAGAGATGCATTTGCATGTAAGTTGTACAAAAGATTATGTCACAAATTCAAGCTAAGAATCCTGAAACATAAGGCAACAGTGAAATTCCTTAAAATTTAAGAGATGTTAAGAAATTTTAAAATTTTCAGACTGTGTCCAGTCTGAAACACAAATGCTACAGGCAAAGGCTGTCAGAGCTGCATGGTGGGTGTGGCAGTCAAATACTAAACACTAGAAAAGAAACAATTGCAATGACTTCGACTATTTGCACTAAAAAAACACCCTGCAAAGGCCTGCTAAAATTATATTATTAGTACTTTTCTTGTTGAAGAAGACTTTTACAGTTCTGGGAAGCATAGGATGCAACAGATGGATTCCAAGGCCCAAATGAGACTTGATTTTCTTCAGAACTTATATTTTTGAAAACTGATGCAAATGGTATTTTATTTCTTCTGGAAATGAAGAAAAAATCGCAGTTTTTTACGATGTAATGGTCATGGATTTAGGCTTTAGACATTCTCAGAAACCATTTGAAAGAATTCATAGAATTCATAGAATTCTTAGAATTCTGACATAGACCTGCCAGGGGATAGCTGCTGCAAGCATTCACAGCTCCAGACATAACTTTTAAAGACCACATTCATAGAAACCAAAGTTTTTCATTAAACTTCAGAAACCCTCTTAGGGATAGAAACAGGAATGATCACAGAAGTTTTGGCATCGGGTACTGAACTTGCCAGCCTACCCTATTCATCCCTGTGACCTGCTCTCTCTGGTCATTGAACCACTCCCTCTTTTCCTGCAGCAAGCTGTACAGCCTTTCCCTCCACCTCCACCAAGTTGCATTACAGCTTGAAGCACGAATATGTGTCGTATGGGACACCTGACTAAAGGAATCTGAAACACTCGACCCAGGCAGTAGCCTCTGTTGAAGACAAGCTAGCTGTAGGGTTACCGCTCTGAACCCTGCCTTGAATTTCAGTCTTGATATCATTCTGCCTTGTTCGTTCTTTGCATTCTCCTAGATACAGAAATGGTGAAAAGCAGAGAAAGCAAGAGTCCTAATTTCTTCTTCAAAGAGAGCAGGAGAGCATCATACTTTTGTTTCTAGGGGAAAGGAATGATGGAAAGTAGGTTAGTATGGAGGCTGGGTCTTTGTGATTATGGACATAATTTTGTATGTATTATATGATATGACTTATTTTTGTATGCTCTGCAGTCATACACTGATTTAAAAAAAATTACAAAAAATTTGTGCAATTTCAAGAAAAATGAACAACAACAATAAGATATCCAACTTTCTATGTGTTTATCTCTGTGAGTACTAGGGTAAGTTATGTATTCACATGTATATGCACACATATAATACCTTTCCAGTTAAAAAACTTGGTGATAGGGGCAAATTCTTAATACTCAACGTGTTTTCATAGGAGCAAGCTGACAGGAGCAGTAACAAAAAGTACACTGAAGTCTGTTATCAAGTCTGCTTCTCTTTTACTCTCTATGACTTCTCTGCTCTCTTCCCCAGTCAGACTCCCTGCGCCACACAGGCTCAGTGGGAGGTGAGACGCACCTAGGTAAAATGCCAAATTTTGCTCAAGAATAACAACCTGCAGTTCTCCATAGGAATTGTACACACCGCAGCAGTTGGTTTGACCAAAAGGCACTATAAACTGACTACAGATGAGATGCAGGAATGCTGGAATGGAATTTAATAATGGGATGCTGTTGCCCAACCATGAATATCAGAGCCAGTGAGTACTTTCATCAAACATTTTCACAGTTTTACAAGACAATAAATACTATTTTGGGTTGTTTAGGCTCACAAATAGTGACAGCTCTGTTTAATTCATAATTGAGACAAAGTTTATTGGTACTCTAACTATATTTAGTTTTAATTATTTCAAATTCAGAAATAGCTGAACAGTTCTGAAATAAAATCCATGACACAACACTCATATATTTCTCTATTCAACTCAGTATCAGAAATTGGCTTTCACATGAAAAAAATCAAGCTTTAGGGTTAAATTTTCAAAAGAGTCCAAAAAATTGGAGCCTTTTTTTTTTCCCAAGTCATTTAAGTTCCTAGATCTAGAGAAACAACCAAGTAACATTTCTAATTAACTTATATAGGAAATAGATTCTTTTGTGACAGAAATTAGATACCTATTGTATTTTGGGTCTCCAAATTCCTTACAAAATTGCTATGACTCCAATACTTGCAAAAAAGGTGTGATTTTTAAAGACAGATTCACATTTTGACTGAACTATTTCTAACCTCAAAAAACTAGAAAATAAATAGATAGCAATAACAACTGAGTTCAGGAAATTTCCTCCTCCACAATGGCATCTGATTTGCAGAGCACAAAAGCTGCAAGAACCTCAGAATAAGGTTGATAAAATGAATACCACAAACTCCTGAACTAGAGCAGCACTGCCATGATAAAATCAGAGTACTTAGGGACAGAAAACTGCAATACATCTCAATGACTTTTCCAGCCCACAGTACGACATCCTCTGTTTTGACATGAATATTGGGAAGCACTGGCTATTACACACAGAATTCCTAATGCTGTCTGTCTGAGTGTAAGACATACCCCATTACAGTGAAATGCAGTTACACTCTGGCAAGATTTATAGCCACATATAAGGTCGTTGATGGCAATAGGACTAAAGAAAACTGACAACTTGATCTGCTATAGCTCACAGCTGCAAACAGCAGCAGCATTTTATAGGATTACAAATTTCCACTTTTCACAAAGGACTCTTTGGAAGAAAGGACTAAGAGGGTAATTGTTTCATTAAACATATTGATACAACTGTGCCTTCACTTGGAAGATGGCAGAAGGCTGAGAAACTTGACCCAGTACCTTTCTTTCAGGCTGGTAAGGTGGGGGAGGAAGCTTCATGCTCCATATTTGTAGAACACGAAGACTCACCATGACTGGACACCTCTCCTCCTCTTCTCACCTCCCCAGGAGCTTACAGATCACACATAGACCATGAAACTTGCCCAGAGAGAAGCGACTGAAAATGCCCCCACTTGGCCACATTTCCCCATGAATGCTTATATTCTGAGACCTCACTGTTAGCTGGTGTTTAATACTTTAAAAAGTTGCCATAAGACTTTTGTATGTTTATGACAACAGTTTAGCCAAAATGCCTTTCCACTCTGAAGTAAACACTGGCAGGGAAAGTCAATTATTTTGAACCTAACCAAGCCTGCTGGCCTCATTTTATATACTTAACACACACATAATTAATAATGGGCTTTATATTTAAAGATATCTATAATCAAGCCATATATTTTGAGGGAGTAGTCATATTATCTAACTTACCTAATCCACCAGTCTGAATTAATAGTTTAATTAGAACTATCACTCCACAGCACCACTGGCAACTCTGCAGAAGGCAAAGGCTACTATTTGTTCAGCTATCTTAGGGACACTTAGATGAAAGGGACACCTTTCAAAGCTGCTTCCTGGCTGCCATTACATCGTGCAAGAAACCCCATGTTCCTCCTCATCCCCAGCTCTTTGTAGCTTTCAGCAGCAAATCAGTAGCAGTGCTCCCAGAAACATAGGCGTATCCATACTATACCATTTCCATTACAGCCTCCCAAAATTCCATTGATTGGTATGGCTTTTCTTTCATGCTGCTAAGCTTTAAATACTTATAAAATATGTTTTATATCAATTTCTCTCTATTCAAATCTACCATTTTGCAAACAGCTCTAAAAAGCTGAAGAGCAACATATAATGCTAGCTTTGTTGCCCTCTACACTTTGATTCCAATTGGTGCAAGCATTTCAATTTCTATTTGACAAAATCAAAATATGACCAAGGAGTTTGTGGTTTACATGTTTTATATTTGTATTCACATTTTTATT